CTTTCCCTTTGCACATGTCTATGCTCCTACTACACCAAAGTCTGCATGTCCTGGTTTTGGGGTGGGAGGCAGAGGTGGGAAGAGGGAAGGCAGCTGGGAAAGAGGAAGGAATAGCTTCTCTAAAATATGCCAGCTTCTGATTATGCAAGAATATCTGTAGCTTGCTCTAACCATCACTTCCCTGCTTGATAATCCTTGTGTGATGTATTTTAAGTACAGAACTGTAATTAGAGCTGCTTTGCCCTGGGAGTTTCAAATGCAGTATGCTAACACGAACAATTTTTTTTCTTGGCTCCAAGCCATGTAGTTGGACTTCCACAAGGTCTTGAGGATACAGGGTGAAGAAAGGTTATACCCTATTCAGCTAACACCACCACTCTTCCAGACCTCCCCAGGCTCCCATGCAAGCAGTTAGGCCTTCCCTTTGCTTATGAAAGCAGAGTGCTTCTCAACTCTATTCTGTTTTCAAACAAGAATAAGAGCCTATTGTTTTAGCATCAATAACTAGCTATGGCCAATTGGCTTTTTTGAACAGTTAACAGCATAAATTTAAAGGAAAAAGAATAAAAAAATGTCGTTACAATTCCGTATGTTACAGGCATAAAGGACCTTTACCCCACTGTCCATGCAGAATGTTATGCATTTAAGACATTAAATAAAACACATTATTTAAAAGAAAAAAAAACCCAAAACCTCAAACCAAAAAACCCACCCTCAACCTCACATTCCCCAGACAGCTAATAGCCATTAAAGATCACTACAAATACCAACAACTGTAGAATCTGACCTCTCCTCAGTCTTTGAAGGCTTTTTATTTGTTTGAGCAGAACACACCACATACATAGAACTCATTTCTTTTTTTCCAAGTCCCCAGCCAAATGCCTACTAAAATGCTTAAGGTCGACATGTTACAGAAACAAGGCAACATTATTTTCTTTATGCAACTGATATTAAGAAATTATCTTTTAGGAAAGCAAGTGGGAAATGCTGAAAAACAAGCAAACAGGAGAAATGTTGGGGTAGCTTTATAAGGTGCTTACATACTGTGGGTTTAATGGAACCTATATGAAAGCACGAGGTACCTAAAACCTTAAGAACAATGCACAATTGAGATTCAGTTAGGTACAAATACAAAAAAAATTCAATGAGAATAATGCACAGAGCCCTCTAGCCATTCAAAATTAAAACCCAGTATGAGTGCAACAGCTGAAGCAGGAAGGGAGGAAGAATAATACAGCAAACTGAAATTCCACAGAGAATCTCACTATGAACATAATTAGACAACTGGAAATTAAGCAGAACATTTTTGAACTCACTAGTGTTACAACTTTCTTGAAGGGGTGCACCTTTAAAGAAGGCACAGACGCTCGCTTTGTGCTGTAGCCTTCACTGTCTCTCTTCAAACAGCTATATACTTGACTTTGCTCAGCTTGCAACTCCACAATATGAGGACACTGGCAGCTGAATATATCATTGCAAAGTACTAAACGTAAAGTTAAACACACATCAGTGTATCAGAAGCTGAAGAGCTAAAGGATTTGGGTATTTTTTTTAGTAACAGTCAAATTATTATAGGTAAAGATTTCAACTGTCATTAGGCACTTCCTTAGTTTGAGGATGTACTTCTTGAGCTATTCAACTTACAAGCACAGTAAGAGTGTTCAAACTTAATTATACAAAACTGAAACAAAATAGGTATTTACTTCAAGATCTGCTGTGCATGCAGTTCAGCAGAGATGGTGCAATGTGTGCACATACTCAGTGTAAGATTTTGTTGACTTGCCTATGTTCTAAATGTGTGCACCCCAGGACCACGCAAAAAGCATGGAGTGGCAGATGCAGGTGATGCTACAATATGAGGAAAATATTTCAAAGAATATCTAATTAAATTTCCATGGAATCTCCCATAACTTCAGCCTGTAAGAAGTGAATTCTGGCATTGGCATTTCAAAGAAATTCCTGTTTAATTTCTATCAGACAGGAACTACCCAGCACACCGCAGCTTAATTTATTTTCTCAGTAGTCAATTCTATATATGCTCTTAAAACACACAGGTATTTTATGCTACTGCACTTTTCTTTACAACTCAGTGAAGGCTAACAGAACATACATCACTGGTTACTGTAGCTGTTAAGCGTTAGCTGCAATACCCTTATCACCCATCTATTCTATTCTAAGAAATGTTTAAAGTCTCTTTGCAAGTAAACGGGAAGAGGGCAAAACATGTACCTCTTGATGAACAAAAACAAAAGCATGAGGGGACTTATACAAAGAGATAATTGGAGCAGATCAATTATCAAAAAATCAGAAGTTCATCATTTCAAGCTCTTTAGTTAGTTCTCCAGATAAGACCGTTTGCTTCTTTTGCCCAACAGAACAGTCAGAAAGCAGCTGATGCAACACTTTAATACAACCCTCTCCTTCTTTGCAAGAATGACTGACGGTATTAAAAAGCTTTATTTCAAGGAGCAGAAATATTTTCTGATCAAATGTTCACAACCGCTTGAACTTGCATTCTGCTTCAACTTTGGTTATTAAGCTTATTCTAAAAAGCTTCCCATGTGTTTGCTCCTAGGCATAAGACCCTCAAATCAATTATTATCCAACTCACTGTTAAGTCTACTTCTACAGTCTACAAAAACTGTCAGTTCTTTGAGGCTTAGAAAAAACCAAAGTGTATATTCTTAAAGGAAAAGCTGTAACACTGCCTTTCCAATCTAACGTTGTATAAATACGACCTCTTTTAAAAAATGTCTGTGCATCCGCCTTCCACACATTAGTGGTTTTTTTTTTTCTATTTTAAGAATCTGTTCACCAATAGCTTAATACTTTTCATGCATAACTGATACACTGGTTTCCTTTCTAAACTAAAATATTCTATTTTGGTACAAATAGGCAGTTAGAAAGCATAAACAATGTTTCACCAAAAATATTTAGCATAAGCGCCTCACTGTGTAATGCACCCAAGATATCAATTTTAAAGATACTTTTCAATATTTCTAATCAAAACAGTATTAGTATACATGTAACAGAGATTAAGCCTATGGCCAATTAACATTTTCTGAACAAATTTAAACAACTTTTCAAGGCCGCAGATACAGAAGTCTGTAATACAGAAATCTGACTTCAAAGAAAGTGAAAGATTTATTCCTGTAGTCTGCTGCACTACAAGCATAGGTGAATACCTTCACAAAGGTTTAACTCTGCCATAGTAATTCTGTAATATTTCAGCTGCAAAGCTTTTACCGGCCATTTCAAGAAGTTGAGAGTATAATACTACATACAGGGACTTAGAATGAATGTGCTTTGTGGTCAGAAGCGATATACTGTGCCATTAATGAAGCAAGCAAAGTAAGAACTGCTTCTTTTGTTGGCAGTCTTACCTGGTTAGGTTGGCTAGGAAAACAGGCTCTCCTGGTGTTGAAATCCTCAAATGCTGAAGGCCTTAAATTTGCACTGTTGTAAGGTTCACTGGTTACTACAGTTTCATGTTGGAAAAGGTGATCTTTCATTAATGAACCTGATGTATTTTCTTGAGTAGTCTAGAATAGATAAGAACTCCCTTGAAATGATTTTGCATTTATACAAAACCCACACCAAAGCCACCAAGTTCATACATAAAAGCATTAATATTTTACATAACTTATTACAGGCATCTATAAACACAAGTATTTTTAAATACACATTTTAAAGTACTTGTAAGTAGGCAAGTATTTTCTTTAACATGAGTCAGCCTTGGAAAATAAAGAGTTCCTTCTCTGCAGAGCGTACACAACTTGGGCATTAGAGGTACATGCCTTTGTAACTCGGTTGCCAAATCAGACTGAGGAACTTCTTTAAGGAAGGACAGATTAACCCAGTCTCTGAGATTATGCTTTCTCCAACCACCCACGAGGCTGCCGGTATTTACAAATATACAACTGGAGGAAAAAATTTTTGAGACTAATAAGGCAAAAGCTAGTCAGACCTTTTAATAAATTAAAAGCAAGATCAGCTGGAAAGGAACAGAAAGTCAGTTTTAACATATAATGGCTCAATTAAAATATCTAATTACAGCAAGTGTGTATTAAACAACTAATGACTCTCTTTTTGAAATTAAGGTTATATCAGGCAATCTGATACAAAAATGAGACCATGTGGCAACATATAATGAGATAACTGCAGGACGTGTGCCACTCAGAGTAAGGAAGAAGAAGTGTGTTTGAGTGGAATAGTGGCTGGTGAGATGATCCAATTTCTAAAAAGAACAGAAAAACAAATGGTTTGCCTTCTTTAAGCTTAACTGACTGGGATATACTTAGGATACAGTAGAGCACATTGATACAAATCCCATTGGTCTGCCAAAAAATGTACCATACAATGTTTTGTTTGTATTGAGAGACGCTGTAAAGTTAACTAGCTGACATCATCTGATAGCACTGGGAAAATTTTCGCATCAACCAACTTCCAGCAATGAGAATGTTTTAGCTTTATCATGAGGATTTGTATACATCAAGAAAACATTAAGGGGGAAACAATACAAATACTGCAGAGAACTACTGAGGCAGAGGCAAACCTGAAGTTTTAGCAGGTTAAGTACTAACACTGAATCATCAGTCTTGATTTATCAAAATACTTAAGGAACTTATTCTAGGATTACATTAGCACCTCATGTACATAAAAGCCTAATATACCAAGCTCCAAGACACCTAGATAAAGTGGAAGTAGCTGTTCTGTAGCTGATCTTTAGAAGAAAGAAAATCATCACATCACTAAGAATTTATATATTGTTCAGAAGCACCCTGAGTGGAAAAACATTAAAATTAGTAATTAATTAATGATCAGCTTTAACTAATGCTAGAGACCATACACCCCATGAAAGACAATAGCTCAATCAGGTTAAAGTTCTACTGAGAAATTCTGAAGACAGGCAAAACTCCCAAAAGAAGTGCTTTTTGCAGATCCTTGAGCATGACACTACCACTAAGCTACAGACCCCATTGTTGGCAAAATTAGATTTTCTGGTCAAATGCTGTTGTGAAAGGAGCGCAAAAGAAATATTGAAATGACCGGGAAGAATTAGATTTCATGGATGTATACTTATTTTAAGAGCAAAAAGCATCAAATATTAGAGCAATATCAAACACCTTCCTATCAGGAGGTACTCCTGCAGGTACATTGCCCAATGACATAAAAAGCTTCCAAAACACTGGTTCAAACCACAGGAGAGCTGCATTCAGAATGAGGAAGAAATGCCCACAACTATTTTTGGTTTGAGCAATGTTATAAATGCTTACAAGCAGAAACTATTTCAGCTAGGAACACACTTGCAGCTAGAAGCCATTTTACAGAAAGCACAGTGATAAGCATTACCTAACCCCCTTACCCCCCCAGCTATTATCAATTTGGCTGGTCTAGGGAGAAGGATGAGAGCTGCAAAACCCTCCTTCCTTCCCAAGGAAAAAAACATGTACTACTCACAAGCCAGTCTATCCCTGGGTGAGATTTGCAACAGCCTGCATTATTTCCTGTCTCTGCAGGTGATTCACGCCTTTTTTCTTCAGAAACAAAACTACCTACACTCTAGAGCAAAAAGGACACATGCCCATGCTCAGACAGACAGATGCACACGCTCCCCTTGGCAGTCAAGAAGGGCTCCATCTAATAAAGGATACAGGCACTGATCATCTAGTACAGTGCCAACTAGCAGTGCCAGACACTGATGTATGAAATACAAACCTTAATCTTAAAGCAAACCTTTGTGCCCTACACGCATCAATTATACAAGAATGCTTTTATAAAATTCCAACACAGACACCACAATTCAAGCTAATTGACTTCAAGGACAAATTTGGGGGTGGCAGGAGGCAGAGAAAGGCTTCTGACCTTTATAAGGCAAGAACTCACAAGACAGCTGTTCAGAAGCTCACTCTACCAACCTAGACACTACAGGTAAGCAGACACAGCCTAACTTCTGATATTTATGAAAAATGAAAAGCGATCAGGTCAATTTTGATCTTATTTAGCCTATAAATATTCACAACGCAGAACTACAGAAATGCTACATGAGCATCCTGAACTCTGTATTTTTAATTAAACTGATAGGTTAAATACAGCCAAACCTCATTTATTAGTATCAAAAAGGCTTTCTTTGGACAACACTTCCTGCTCCAGTGTGATGTTTTATGACAAGGTCATAAACAGCTGAAACCCCACATTTATAATGGAAACACTGACAACCTGAAGGGAGAGGCCCTAGAAACAAAAATGTTATTGCATTGAAATGCATTTAAGTAAAAAGCAAACATGTAAAGTTTTCCACAAGAACTAAGCTTGGTATATTTAATATACAGAATATTACACACAAACACAGATGCACACATTCCCCTTTTCTACTGTCCAAAGCAATTACACCGCCCACATTCAATATCCTTTAACCACAGCCTGCAAAGTACAGTGCTGGCATAGGTTATTCAGTATCATCTGTAAAGTAACCTACGCCAGTTTTTAATGTACAACGGAAATCTGGTTTGCTCCCAGCTGCTGGTATAATAATTACTGTCCTATGGTTGCTAAGAGATACTCTGAATTTTTTTCCAAGACTACTAAAACATTTCTGTGCATGCAGGCAAAAGGATGCTGGGTAAAGCAATAAAATGACTCCAGCTGTAGCTCTCCAGCAGAATTCAAAGCCAGATGACAGCTGTAGAGAAAATGAAAACCAGACTGAGCTTCTCTTCTTCTTCAATTTTCTCTCCTTACTTCTCCCAGTTTGCCAGAGTTAAGTCTGGGAGAGAATTCAACATTGTTCTGCAAACATTGTTAAAAATGTTCTGCTCTAAGTAAGTTTAATGATTACACAGAAGGATGGATGAAAGACCACATTTCCGTTGCATCCCCAGTTCTTGTATTTACTTCCCATGAGGCCTGACAATCTGCTGTTTGATGCTAACCAACACAAGAAGCGTTTAAATGTTTTTTCCTTAATTTTTTAATTGTGAATAAATGATACAGGTTTCAAAACCTTTTGCATAACTTCCTTCTGTTTTAGCTGTTTCTAAGACTGGTGGAGCAACTATTTTCATATTTGGCACCGAAACTATATTACAATCAGGTATATATTTCTGACATGAACTGAAATATTACTTAGATTACTCTGAAAGTTTTGTACAGTTTAAAGTAAAAAAGGAATTTGACACACCTCTCTCTTCCAAGGCCGTTCTACCTGAATATATAAAGCATATTTTTAGGGATTCCAGGAAGGAACTAATAAATTAAAACACAAAGCATAACTCTGAGGAAATAAGAGACAGACTGAGATGTAAAGAGGCTGTTGGGGATACTGGTGAGGGGAAAACCAAAATTCCCTCCTCTTTTCTGAATACTACTGCACAAAAAAGCTTAACAAACCCAAATAATTTTAGTACAATATATCATTAGATTTATTTTAAATGGATAATATAAATTAGTGTTACTTTTAGTTCTAGGAACTACACCCAGACAATTTATTAATTGCACTAAGTATTGTTAATCTTCAGTGGTTTATCATGCAGTATTTTCTTCTCCATAAAAACAATACAGTGTCAAAGGTAAATTATTGCACATTTCCTTACAAGACATAATGTCAAGTTATTTTTGTAAACTAAAACTTCTGTGAACCTTTTGTTAGAGACAAAATAAATTGAACGGTCCCTAAATAGTGCGTTTACAAAGAGGCATGTGAACCCTTCATGTCTTCCTCGCCTGCACCAAAACCACTTAAGATGCATGTAAGTCGCAGGCCTTTTCCCTTCATATTGACAAAAAGCCCAATGTACCTATTTCTGAAAGAACAGCCGAACTTTTTTTTTTCTACTTGTAATTTATCAGTCTACAGTTTTCTTCTGCCAGTAGTAAGAAACTCAAAAGCCTAAGTACTCCATTTTTCATTACTTCAAAACTATTAAAATGTCTTGGTAGCCTATAAATAACACCAGGATGGCTGAATCAACAAAACCTGAAAGAAATTAAGATTCAACTGCTCCATTTTTCAGTTCTCAAAAGCAAGACTTACTCATTTCAGTATCCAAAACCCACATAAAAATACTTTTAAATGCATGAGCTCTAGATTTCATTTAGTTAGATTTACTTCTAAGAAAAATAAAATTCTGAATTTTACATTTTTTCAGTTAAGCTAGATGAGTTTCAGAGCAAGATGTTTATATTTGGTAGAGGAAAATAATCTGAGCCAACCTTTGAACAAACAAGCAAACTGACTTAAACAAGCTGCTTGTCTACTGCATTCAAAATGCCTGGTTTTATACCAAAAAATCCAAACCTCCTACCAAAACAAATTCCCAGTGTATGTTTCCATATAAGTATATGACCATTCCCAGGATCCATTTACAAACATTACAGGGAGTCAGATAGCTCTGCATTAACTCATTTGTGTATTTCTATTTGGAATTAATCTAGTAAGACTAAGGCTTACTTAATGATATAAACAATTTGCATATAATACATTCATTAAACAACTAATAGTAATTGTCATAATTTAAGCAACCTTTACAAGCAAGTATGAACACTCTTAAGTGATGGCTTTTTTTAATACTAAAGATTTTAACGCTATTTGTGAACAACAGAGCATCTAAAGAAGCTGTAATGAAGCTATATCTTCTTAAAATGATAAAATTGATCTTTAATAAGAAGAATATTTTCTCTGTGAGCTTTTATTTAAAGAATGTAAAAAAAAAATAAAAAAAAAAATCTAGTTACCCAAGAGACAATACAGCAAAAGCAAAATGCTAGCCTAGAAAGCACAAGATAAATGCAAATCTAAAACCAGAACTCTTAAAGAGTTGCACATACAAGTTTTGGACAACCCCTATTTCTGCTTGCTACATCTATAACATGTGATAATACTTATTACAAGTAGGCATTGAGGTTTAACAGCAGCGTCACTGACTAGATGAGAAGGTTGTGTGTTTTTATCTTATTTGGATCATTTTATTTGCTCTCTGTAGCATGGAATATAACCAGCCAGTGAAATAACTTAGGAAGCACGTTTTGCTTTCCTTCATCACTAATCATCTCCATTTTAAAAAAAACACTGTTAATGAAATTTAGGTACGAACTATGTATTACTTTCATATTTCAAATATGCACTAAAAATAGGATTCCTGCTGTGTAAGAGGACAAGAACAGCATAGGCAAAACACCTTGACAGCAGATGATGTAACTGACAAAGACATATTAAAATTGAGATTTTCAAATGTACCTTGATGACATCCTGGGGACTTTACCTACCATACTAACGAAGAAAGAAATGAAACTGAAGAATACCAATACACGATAGTTACTACAGGGTATAGACAAAAATATAAGTGCATTAACAAACACACTATGAAAAGTAAGTGTGAAATAACCCTTTTCTCTTTTTGATGTTCTGCTATTTTAGAAACTAGAAAGTATGACTACTTAATATTTTTAATTAAATGGAGGAGCTCCACTGCTTGATCTTTTGTACTTTATTCTTCAGAGGTTACAAATTACAATTCTGGAAGATTATTCTGATGAAACAACAAACATCCCATTGCCCTCATATCCAAGTGTCAACCTGCTCTTTAACATTCTATCCACACTCTAAAATGCCCTTGCATAGATATACTCCAAAACTTACTCAAAAATACTACTAGAGACTTGGGAAAAAAAGCTTATAGAATAAAGAAAAAAAAAATTATTAGGCCTTTTAAATTATAGTAGGGTTGGAAGAAGGGGGGACAAGTCAACATGAGTCTTCAAATACATAATACATTACCTTTAAATAAAATGGTCTTAGCAGTCTTTCAAGTTAAAAAAAAACAACCTGAGGCATCAACTTCCACTTACAACAAGATCAGTCTTGGAAGGGGGAAGGAATGAATAATTTGGAGGAGAATGTATGCTATTTGGTATTTCCAAGATATTCTTGATGACTAGATCTGGTGCCTGTAACCAAAATGCTGTAGCCTTTCTACACTGACATTCATAACCCTGCAATTATGGCTTCGTTATTGATATATAAACCTGATTTAGATGAAGCATAGCTAAACCAGAGTGGGTTCAGCCTTCCCTGCGTTTCTTTCCAACACCACCCCCTTCTGGTATTGCTATTGATAGGCAATTATAGTACCATTTATTTTACCTTGGTAATGCAGAGATACAGTAAGAGAGACGGGCTAGCTTTTTTGCCTCTAGAAAGCAGGTAATTCTTGCCTCCTGTCCACAGCATGAATCCAATAGTTACGCAATGTGTGCTGTGAAGTCATGAAATACGTCTTCCTGTCTGGAGCGTATCAGATAATTCTACTAGCAGTTTGCACCAAACAGGACTGTTTGTACTTGTAAGTTATATATATATGAGAGACTATTTTTTAACATGTATATAAAGTAAATCTACATCATCTATTTACATATTTAAATATACCTATATTAACATCTACATAGACTAGATGATGTCTTTTCTTCCACTTTTCACCACTTTCCCCAATAACAAACTTTGTAAAGATAAAGAATCACAGGTATTCGCTTGAATTTTGGCATCCTTATATAGAAAGGTAATAACTAGGCAGCACAATCAAGAGGTAATTTGTTTCCTCTAATCTCATTAGGCCTGTAGAAATTGCTCAATTATTAATCCTCGCAACAATGCGTGTTTAAACAAGTCTTTTAAAAGCTGATTAAGGAGTGCATTAACTTTGGTGCACATTTCCTCTACCCTGTCAAAATCTCATGCTTATTTTAAAACCAAAATATCTAATATTTATAGCAATTTTACTTTAAAGTGCCTTAAATTAAAGCACTGCAAATAAAGAACAACAGGTGGTTGCGTAGTTGACACAGAGAGATACATTTCTTCTACCATAAAATGGAAAGAAACTGGGAGACTTTTCTGCATTGCCACTGCATTGCAGTATCCTTTCTAAATACTTGACTATCAGTCTTCTATCATAATTTGATTCTTGCCCGTATCTTCAGAGTAGGCTGCTAATTTTCTTGATTTTGTGTTGCAGAGGTTCTGTACTGCATCTGTCTACACTGATAAAGAATTTAATATTGCATAAATCACAAATTTTTTTCTCTAAAGAAACCACTTAGGAATGCTATCAGTTTTCTGAATGGTCATTAAGACCCCTGAGTTAACTTGTTCCTATATCAGCTTCATATTAATTTAAATATCTGCATTTTGAAAAACTGAACATATGTGTGAATAAAGTCAAGACTTGCCCTGAAACTGTAAATAGAAGAGATGACAAGCACACGTAGACACAATTAGGTTTTTACTCAGTTATATTACACCTATTTACTGTATATATGTATCCATAATATTCGTTTATACTGGCTTTTTAATTACATGGATTCTTGGGTATTACCAGGCAGTCCTACACATCAGTGTACAATACTTGATATGGTATTTGTGTAAAACATTATAACTCTGAAGCATAGTAGGAGATAAGTTTTTACCTCTTGTGCCCTTATAACCTATAGAAATTGAATGATGCAAGTAACTATCAATAAAAATTTGAATCTCAGCAAGTGTCTGCTTTATCTTCATTGTGTTTTTTAAAATTATCTGAACTTTTGCCCTTGTTTGGACTAGATTCTTTTAACCATTATCTCAGCATCTTTTTAACTCTAACCATGCAACGTTAGAAGTGTCTATCACCGCAGAGTGAAAAATCTAGGAAAACAAATAGGATGTGTGTGTAGAAGAAGATTCCTGACCCTTCTATTTTTTTTTTCCTCCCAGATGAATATTTGATGTTCCCATGAGTTCAAAGAGGACACAATCTAGAACAGACACTGTAAACTTAAAAATTAAGCTCAGGATGGTTAATCATCCTATTAATTATTGACTACTTAGTTTAGGACAGACAATACTGTAAGTCTTCTAGATAACTGTTCTGGAACTTATTTCATTAAACTGAATTTTGCTATTGTTCTTGTTTTGCTTATTCTCAGTAATGAAAACAAAAAATTGTTCAATGAATTTCTTCAAAAAACAACTGCACAATTAATTTAAAAATTTAAATTCTCACTTGAAAGCAATCTTCTGCCACTTCAACGTCATTTTGAGAGGGTGGATAACCTACAGAAAAAGTAAAAAAAAAAAATAATTAAAATAGACAAGGTTATTTTCTTTTTATTTACAGTTTATTGCTTCTAGTAGTCCACACCATTCTTCAATATCCAGCTATGACATAAATATGCTTGTTCACTTCCTTAACCAGTATATCGCTGTATTTCAAGTTGATTTTAGTAAGTACCATTCATTTCTACATTCCATATTTTATATACTGAATAGTCCTAGCCACACTCTTCTCTCCTGTTCACACCTTTCTTGCAAAAGCATTTTCAAAGTGTCATCAGAAGTCAGAAACAAGGGAGTATATTCTTGTTAACGTAGCATTTTGAAATTTAAAGACAGAGACATTTGGTTGGCATGAATGCACACTGTGCTATATTTTACTATAAATCAGCAGAAATTGGAACCATGAGACCCTAAGAGAGAAAAGCACTCATATGTTCTCTAATTATTTCTCTTGCAGGGATATGGATGATACCAGCACAATTCAAAAGAAGTCATTCTAGTATGTCAAAAAACATTTATTTTCGGAAACATGTTTCTCCCTTTGCTAATACGGTAACACACATTAAATACCTAAATTTGCAGCACATCACAGCACAGAATATTTTGTTTAAATTTCTCCCTTTGAGTTACTTTTTACAAGTCTGAAAGAAATGTTCAATAGACATCTGTTCTCTTCCCTTCCCCCCTTCCTCCATCCAGCAATACATTTATCATATTTTCAGTTCAGAATCAAGGCTTGGTGAACTAGTTTGCTCACTGGTTTCTGTGAGGTCAGTGAAGCTCTGGAACCTGTTAGCCACATTACTATTAGAGTAAATTCTTCCACTGTACCTTATAAACCTGCCCTCAAAACTACTCTGTCATCTGTTAGTAAACAGATGAAAACTATTAACTGAAAGTATGTGCAGATAAAAAGAACTCAAAGGGTCTCAGATCATTCAGCTTCATAACTTGTCCTCCAAGAACACAGAAGCTGTTACAAGCTTCTGAGAAGAAGGTCCAAGTAAGACACTATAACACTAGCTTCCTCCATTTCTTCATCTCTAAAAAAAAAAGAGGCCATGTTTTATTATTTAGGGATGTTTCGGGGAATTACATTATTAGTGTTTGTGAAACAATTTAAGACACTTAGATGAATGGCACTTTAGAAATGCCAGAAGTACTATTTAAAAACTGTTAAAAAATGCTATAGATCAATCCTCATCCTTAAATACTGTCAGCATTAATGTTATGCAAAGTGCTTTGACTTATCTCATTTACTAAACACTCAACGCCCCCGCCAACCCCTTCACCCAAAATATGTACCTTGAGAAATATCCTCTACTGCTCTCCGAATACCTCTGTCAAATGCTCTTGCATCAGCAGGACTCTGAAATGTGAGGCCAAACTTTTTGTCATCAATCTTCCAGTGGTAAAAAGTAGGAGTAACTTTGTTGTAAACGAGGTCCTTCTTTAATGTGCATTCCAAGACCACCTTCCAGAAAGAAGACAGGAGGAAAAGATCACTGACTAACACATCAACTTTGAGAACAAAATGTAGTCTTTGTGAATTACCTGAAAACATACAACATAAGAGCAAATCAAAGTCTCTGTTTACATTTCTTCCTGTTACCAGAATGTAATTTTAACTTCATCTCCATTATGGCCACATTATTCGCTAACAGTTGCTGATAGGTGGTATGGGTTAAGGACACTATTTATATAGTGAATGAATCTTCCCAGCCTCAAAACTCTCTCTCTCATACCTGCAGCAAGCACTTCTGTCAGTACCGACTTTCTAGACTGTCAACAAATGAAATAGGCCACATCCCGAAAAAACATCACTGTGCTGATTATCAAGTATTACTGTATGACTGAGAATTTTATTTGTATATTTATTCTATAAAATTTTTGAGCACTGGACTAACTTTACGCTGCTTTCAGGCCATATCAGTTTTTTCCCAGGAAGGCTACTAGACAAGAGAAAATAATATAGGAGAATTGTTTTAAAAACTGAAATTAATCAAAACTAAAATATTTTTGAATGCAATTACTGCCGGTACCTAGACACAAATATATTTATGGCTCATATTCAACTATGGTGAAAACAGTAATTAGGAATAATTAACAGAATTATTTGGCTACAAAACCATTGCAGGTATACACGCACATTCAGTTATCAAGCAAAGTGGCAGTCTTCACATCATTTCCCCACTTTAAATTGGCTGGGTTTTAAAACAGATTTGCCTATTTAATTTAGCTGCAAAAATTGTTTTATGCAACACTGTTACACTGAATGTTTCTTGATCAAAAAAATCCAAGGTGAACAGGAAAGTATGGAGGGATGTGCACTGTTCTGCTTCTGTAGCACTAGGTATAATAAAATGCACAGCAAGACAACCTGTATCTCTGTATTACTACTAGATTCTGAAAAGCTACGCTGAGAGGTGAATGAGGAATCTTAATATTCTATCATTTCAACATTAATGTATTTTCAGAATTTTCATTTTTCAATTTTGTTACATGTGCAGCTTTTTGAGAGAATACAAAATTTCTTACAGCATGTGGAAAAATTAGGTTTTACATAAAAGTAACAGAAAAAAAAAATCTCCAAATTTAAAAAATATATCTGTCTGTTCTTAGATTATTCTTACATATCCTTTGTATTCTTCCTCTTCTTTCCTTGTCTAATTATTACATAGACAAATAGGTTTTTTTCTCCTGCTCTTCGTTATTTATTCCCCCTACCCTACACCCTACCACTAATCATCCTCTCTCAAGTTTTACTGCCTTTCAGCTCTGGCTCTAGAAGGATGACATTCTTTCTGCACATATAAATTCTTTCAGCATTAACGTAACTTTTGTCACGCCACTCCATTTCCTAAATGGTCAACAATATGTAGGTACAACTGCCTACAAGAAAGCATAGGAAAGAACCTAACTACTTGCTGTAGATGTGCAGGGAAAGGTGTTACAGCTAAAAAAAAAAAAAAAAAAAAAAAAAAAAAAAAAAAAAAAAAAAAAAAAAAAAAAAAAAAAAAAAAAAAAAAAAAAGTATCATTCTGCAGTTCTGAGGTGTATTGATGATTTTTTTTGTTCCTTTTGATGACTTTAAACTTGCTTCCTCCTAAAAAGAAGAGTTAAAAATAAAGATTTCTCACATCAGTGCATCTTCTAGGTTTGTGAGCGCTTTTAGGGGATGTCTACTATATTAAACACCAACTATTTTCACACTATATTTGTGTGCAGTTTCGCCCAAAATATCAACGAAAAGTACTGCAAGACTGATTTTATAGCATCTCAGTGAACAACTGCTCCCAAAGGAATTAATCCAGATTACTTTATACTGAAAATTCATACCTGGATGACAAATATTTTTAAAAGATAGTACCACGGGAGATAAATGGGATTAAAACTTTACTGAGTAGAAGCTATGATTTTCAAAGGAACCCAGACCGAATCTGAAAATCCCCAAACCAAGCCCCGCAACCCAAAAAGCAACACTACTACCACCCCCCACCTCTAATCCTCACAACATTTTATAGGGCAAGCAATCATTAACAAAACAAGCAAACATCCTATCTAACACTGTAATTGTTTTCACCTTGATTTAAGGAAACAACAAATTTGACAAGACAACACTGATTTTTCAAATCTAAAGTTGTATGAAAACAGACCAGTTAGGACAGTAGATAGAAGTGATTAAGGGCATTGAAAGGGGAAAAATTAGTTGCATTAAAATTGTATGTGTTATCAGACACAAGAATCCATCTATGAAGCTTTATGTCTGCCCCACCCGAGAAAAAACTCGAAGACTGCAGGTCAGAATTAGCAGTGGGACACAGCTTCCCACCCTTCGATAGCTTTTGTTGCATCCAGTAATACTAAAAACCCAACACAAACAAAAAACATACCAACCATCCTCTAAAGCACTTTTTCTCTCCCCAAAATACTCCTGTGCTTTACAGCAACAACATATTCTTTTTCCCTGTTAAACATAACGCTGTCAAAGGCTTCTTTATGCTGAAGCATGCAAGCTATCATCGGGGCTGGGGAGGAAGTGTCCCAATACACGTATCTCCAAAGCCTGGAAATGGAAACCAAGCTTCTGGCATTACAGATACTTTTTTCGAGCCTTCAAACATCCAGAACGCCAACTATTTTTTACTGCACTTTGCTGTGGTTCAGAACTCTCCACATCATATGTGAGGATGATATCATACTCTCCCACATGGTTACCAAAAATCTCCCTCCCTAAACCTTTTTAGGTAGACCTTCTCTAAGATTTCCAGTGATAAGCACAACAAAAACCTGCAAAATTGTTAATGAAGTGACTACGGCTTAACAAAAGTGCATCTTTTAATAAACATGGGTTACTGTTCTGAAGTTTTTCTTCATTTGGAGACTTAATGTAAGACTCCCATGCCAATACGAAGCAGCCACCTTAGCAAGTAATGGGAAATGTTGCAGAGTTATCAGACTCAAGACAGAAGAGCTCCAGATCCACACGATCAAGGTCTAAATTCTCAGAGCATAAACAGGCCTGTATGCATACTTACTACTATTTAATGAAAAAATCCTTTTAATATCTAGATGTCATTAAGTGCAACGCTAATGAGTTCATAGCTACTCATAAAAATACTTGCTTGCTACACATTTCATTTCTCACCTCTACAAGCTATGTTATTTAAAGATACTAGAAACTATTTGGCTTGTGTTGACAAGCTGAATCTCTAGAGTCAGAAATTTTAAACTTCAACACTTGAAACCCAAATATTTTTAAAGAAAATTGAGTATGTAAGATATTAGCATCATTATCTAGAGCTTGTTTCGGAAACAAATATGAAAAAACCACCTTACTGCATTTGATATAAATTTCTATTTTGGTAACAGACTCCATAATTGAGCATTTCTAGAGACTGGATACTATTTTACTGGTTTCTAGCTATACTTTCAACAGCCTACAACATTACACATAGATGGATAGTTTCACAACTTCTCATTCCCAGCCCAAATTTACAAACACGTAAGCATACAGTTTTTGATCAAATGTCTGATATGCCTTTTCTGCTAAGCATAATCGAAGGCTTTTCTCTAGTCTTGGGACCAAGCAGCATGACCCAAGTATATTCATGCTACACAGCATGTGGCCCCAGCGCCACTGTGACCCCATGACATGATTATTATTCTGTGCGTGCTTTTAATTTTTTCCAATTATAAAATCAAGATGATGTAAGGACTGTACTACAGCCCATCAGAATCAGTCTTTTCTCAAACTTTAAAGCCAATTTAAAAGGCAAATGACAAATTAAGGTTTTGAATAGCAGATTTTTAGAACAGTACTTATATTCAGTTTCAGCTTTGTATCTCCCTTTACACAATTACCTGTTCTTCAAAAGAAAGATTTTTAAACTTTGATTTGTCACTCCTGACTCACGATCCAAAGGATACTAGTAATTTTTTTTTTCTCCTTCAGTAAAAACTTGCATGGCAAAGGACTGGATAAGAAAATAAAACAGAACAGAGAAGTCTATTAGACTTTTCGTTCAAGAATGTAAAATTCACCAAAGCCTAAAAACCTGTAAGCTTGAGCTTAATGTATGTTTAGCATTAGTGCTATTAAGACAGAAGAGAGCTACTGTAAACACAAGAGAGCAGCAGAACTGACCAGGTTAGGAGTGAGTGCAATTGTTCCAAGCAGACTGGCTGGAGCCAGATCTAGGAAGGTGAGTATAATAAAGGAGGAAAAGTGTAATTATGTCAAAGTCTTCACAAAATGCCCTTACATTCCAAAGCAGATCTAAACAACATGAGGAAACTAGAGGGGAGCATTCCCTCTCCTAAATTAATTCAATGGTGCCGCTGCTTTGATTTGCTTCTCAGATATATAGGATGCTTTTTGTGAACCCCATGAGATGTTTTAAGTAGCTCAGTACTGCACAAAAATTTTGGAAATTCTACATGTAGCCTGAAGCTGGTTCATAAAAGGGCTGATAGCAACCTAACTCTCAGGCATATAAAGAAATGATGAGAAACATCCCCAGCAAGGAACTTCAATATTTTGATGTCCAGTCCCGAAGTATTTAATTGATACAGCTGACTTACAGACTGAGATCTATAGTCCTAATTAAGCGCCTGCATATCCTATGAAATATATGGAGAGATCTGGCACATTGGAACTGCAAGGTAGTGCCAGAAGCAGTACGTGGAGAAGCAGCAACTAAAGCTGGTTTACAAGAAACAGTAAGAGATGAGATAAAATATCTCTCTTTTGAGTATAACCATTTAAGAGGCATCTGGAAGATGCCTCCATCGAATACCTCACCTATGGATTTCAAGTTGCTTTGGAATAAATTCCATCTTTCTACCGACACTTAGGTTGAACAGTAATACTGGCATTATGGTTCCCATATATCTTAGGTAAAAAGCCATAGATCTGAATTCCATTTGCTCTCTAACTTGAGGTATTTCAAAACCCATGCTTCCCTGTGTCCCAGAAAAGTGCTCCAGATTCCATGCTATAGGTTTTCCAGAATAAGGGAATTTCTGCACCTTTTCTGGAAACTGAGCCAGTTCACAAAAGAAAGACTTACTGGCCTGAGGAAATAAAAATATAATCTAATTATAATGGCATTTTAACAGTGTGTAATGTGACTGGGGGAAAGACTCCATTTGTAAGGATTACTTACTTTTTTAATTCATAGAAATATTTTCAGAAATGTCTGTGTTTACCTTGCAAAAAATCAAGTGAACTGGAAATCGTGGTCCAGGTGACTGAGCCGTAATGACTTCTAGATACTACAACAGGCTAAACATTCCTGAAGACACACATGCTCGAAGTCTAAATAACTGAAATGTTCAAAATTATTTAGGGAGCTTTTTTAAAACAATATTGCTACTTTCTCTTTGCAAATAGAATGGCAGAACAACCAACTGAACAGTGTATGACTGGCGTCAAAGACTATTCAGGTATAAAAGGCTGTTCCAAAATGAGATTAGAGCAATGTTGGAGCACAGAAACAGCAGACTCAGTATCACTCCTACTCAAAATTAGAAGATCATAAAAATATTTGGTCCCTACTTAATAGCAAACACAATGAACCCATAACAACTTCCACTTTTACTTTATTTTTAAAGAAAAAACCCCAGCATTTTATGCCACTAAAGTTATCTTCATTAGTCCTTTTCAGGGCTGCCTCTCTGGAAACACAGCCTTCTCTACTCTTTCAGTTAGAACAGACAATTACATTTCAATTTCTTGGTGTTCTTTTTCTTGGTCTTTTCTTTGCATTATGAAATATAACAGTCACCTGTCAATTCTGTTTGGACTAAAAAACCAATTGTTTGGCTTCATTAAAGAAAAGGTTAAAAATTGTGCTTGAACAGCGAATCCACAGGAATATCCCAAGAACAAATGTAAACCCATTAATTATATTGAAAGCATAAGGTTCAAACCAGTTTTAGTAGCAGTGACTGGATCCCTGTCCAACAGAATTTCTCTTCCAGTCCCTGCTACGGTCCTTCTGAAAAAGTGTCATGACCTAATGATGTCCTCACATACCTTGGTGTAGGATCTTGTTTCTTTTATGCCAACAGGGGTCTTGTTGCATACTGTGCAACTTTGTTGTTAATTCATTACACATTAGCTGTTGCTTGTAAGTGCATTATTTGAAGCCTGAGGAAATACATGTGTACATAGCTTCCTTTTACTCCACTACCAAAGCATCACTGGCTCTACAGTATTCTTCCCCACAGCCTAAATCTGTATTTGTTAGTTCTCTGAGCTTTATTCAATATACACAGGAAAGATGTTTCTCCTAGATGCATTTCTTCCATCTTATCCTGTGTCTTTGAGGGGTTGACTTCCAACAGCAACCTCCTAAAACTGCAGCAAGATCAAAATCTTCTCTGACAGACTAGTAGGTCACATTTGGTGACAGTAGCAGGGGGGACAGATGGGCACATGATGTGACACACACAAAAAACCCCAAAGAAACCTGTTGGACAATAAAGGTTTGGAAAACATATTCATACTAACATGAGCTCAGTTTTGGACAGGAAGAGGAGCGGAGACATGTAAAGCCTTCTACCAGAATTGGAAAGAAACAAGGCTTGCCCAGGGAAAGCATGAGAGAGAGTGCAAATAGATCAGGATGCTGATGGCTGCGACATTTCATACACATGCAGGAGAAAACCAGCCTTCAGTTCTGAGCATTTTATTACCCTCAAATTCTGAAGGCAAGCTATGAATGTCAAAAGTATTGAGAATTAAGAGAAAATTGTCAAGTATCTCTAAATGCAATTAAGGTCCTCAAAAACAGCCTCAATAAGGCTAAAAAAAGTTCTGAAGGGAATTACTGCAAAGTGAGGAAGGAACTGCAGGTGCACATAGCTGTGCGGGAACACAGGGTACTCTGCTAATAGCACTACGCCTCGCTGAAACAGCTGACTCAGCAGAATTTCTATTTATATGCTCTCTTCCTACAACAGTCACAGTCAAGGCAGAAAACTCAGCAGTCCTGCCTCAAGGGAGAAGCTGGTATGCTTGAGAAAGAATCAGCAGTACGGTATAAGAAGCAATTCTACCTTTAAAGCTTACACAGGAGTCATAAATTATTGGCAGAAAAGAGTAAGTTATTGATAAAAGTCATTAAGATGGAGGTTTTGTTCTTTTCCCCACTTCTCTTTGTTTCCACAGTAAGAACCCATCCCTCCACCCCACCCCTTCACAAACCTATTTGGCACACAAGTAACCATGCAAGCCTCAGTAAGCCAACTCTGTCTTCCAGAGGTCTACATGTAGAAATGGCTGAGATCCTACACCAGTTTTCCTTTTGTGAGGCTGACTTCTGTGATGCTATTAAATAGAAGTTTGTTATGGTATTTTATTTAATGTAGCTGATAAATTAATAGTCTCTATGTGTTCACCAAACCAGGTCAATTCTTGGACCTGTCAGCTTCATGCTCTCTTCCAATACAGAAATTGTTTTCATATAAGATGGCTACTTTTTTCATAGCCAAATTCCACAACTGAGTAGCTACTGAGGAATTCCTTCAGATTTTGTGTTTTTAACAAGTTATCTCATTTTCCAACGCTTCTGTTAAACTCAGTATCATTGGTGTGTGAACAGGTTAAGATGATGTAACTTTAACCCTCCATTGTAAAAAAAACTGAATAGCAAAATGTTTCCCCAAATGGATGGAAATCTGCAATGAAAAAAATATGTTTTAAAGTTTCTAAAAGATCAATGTTCTAAATTCTAGAAATGCACTGTATTACTCCTAAAACAAATAATTGTCTCTTTAGGTATATAAGCACTGATATGGATAAAAGCTCAGCAACAGCATTAGACTGAGACTATGAGTTTACTTATAAGCAAACATCAATTCTTAGGTTCTATGTAGTTTTAATAGGAACATTAAACAGATGTAAATTGTTACCGTTTTATCCCTGAGTCGTTCTCCATGGATAAGAAAATCAGCACAGCTATTCTCTTCCTGGGGAATGACTTTGAAGACTGTGACACAGCTTAGTCCACCCCCTCCAAGTGGTAACCATCCACCACTTGAGTCATCCCGGGTCATCACCACAGCTCGCACTCGTGCATAACTATTACTGGAAGAGATGCAAAAGAAGAAATTAGATTTCCATAAATGCAAAACAGCTAAGTCTAGTTAAAAACCAAAACAACACAAAACCCAATACAAAACAACAAACCCACAATCAAGATCATGATAGTTAACATTGTGGAAGTCCTTCCATAACAGTCACCTAGAAGAAACCAGCCTAAGATGACCCTCTAAAAAAATGTTCCTCTGTACTCTTATGCCTTCATTCGGACTTCTTGGAGCTTACATATGATTCCTTGTGAAGAAACTTAACCAGATAATATAGTTCCTCAGAGTCAAAACTGATATTCTTCTAAAAACTTTACAGTCAGTGATCTAGCTAGGGAGGGCCAGGGGTGGGAAGAGAGTGAGAACCAACTCCCGATTTATTTTAGACTAATCATGAAGCCAGTCAGCCACCATGAAATTGCACAGAAAAGAGAACAAGAAAGCAGAAAGAGGTCAGGCCTTGTGCCACTGAAATCTAAACAAGAACAGGCTTCTAGCCAGAAACCCCGCTTCCCTCCATCCCTCCCTCCCTCCTCCCCACGCACATAACCCGTCCTTTGCAAGGGTAGGTCAGGACACATGCTGTGGGGTTTGACAACAGAACCAGTTACGGCTACTTAAAACCTAATATTTGCAGTGTCTACTAGCTGGTTCTCTCCTGTATTTGCAGTGTGTGGAAAATTACTCGCATTTTACAATTTAACAGCTTTTTCCATCATTTACCATTTTTACAAAATAAACAAGTGGTTATGACTTCATTACTTAAAAGCCAAATTTCTTTTTCAGAGTCTTGGAAAAAAAGAGTCTTTGGTGATCTTCTCTCTCTCAGCTTTTATTTATTTCTTTTAAATTAAATGACACATTTTAGTTTTGGTTATGAATTTGCTGCTACATCAGCTGGAGAACCCCATGGTTTTCCAAGGATGTTGTAAGATCCTACAATTCAAAGTATTGTTTACTGCATGAATGTAATAGTCTGTGAATGAACATCCCAACACTTTAAAAGAAATAAGCTTCATGGTATCTTTTGCAACATATTTCTGATCGAGGGTTTAAGTACTGATGCCAGTTAGCATTAGTGATGTCAAATTTAAGGACTGAACAGGAAATATTAGAAGAGGACAAAGTTGTTCCTTCTGTACAAAATTATTTGTGATATACCCATACACTGGACTGCTGTATTTTAAAATGATCACTGCTTTATTTTTTTTCCCCCAAATGTCCCAAAATAGCTGAAGGTAGGCTTTTTTGCGTAATTAATATATTACGTTCTCACACACACACATATGATTCACACATATGATTCACTTATATATATAAAAGAATTTTGCTACAAGCATCTAAAGCTTAAATACATAACTGTTTGCAAAATGGGAAATAAACCAAGACTGTCCAATTTTAGCTTATAGGCAAGTGAATTTGTTTATAGAGACTTTGTTTGCCCCCTCCAAGCAAAAAACCAGCCACCTCCTCCCCCTAAACCTCATAGTTAAAATGACAGTTCAGTCAAAGTTTCTCACCATTTCTGTACCAACATCTTTTAGTAACTCCTCCCACACAGCAGACAATATAATCAAGAAAAATCCAATCCTTCACCATATGCATCTATCAGTTCTAATATCTGAAAATAAAAATGGCTATATCTTGATGCTTAATAAGAGTTGAATCATTCATTGGTCTCTATCACTGTATTTTACTCAGAGATAAGTTCAGATTGTAGTTGTATGCTTCGGAAAAGGGTACTCTTTTGCCTTATTTCTCTCAGGCAAAGAGCCTCTTCTGTCAGAAACTGAGGACTTTCCTCTGAAATAGTAAGATGCACCAAATGGTTAAACATATGCACTCCCTTTGCTACTCTCCATTCAAGCAAGCCACAAATTTAGCTTTAAAGTTATTAATTCTATAAATCTGGTTGTAAATCTGAACATTAGAGCTTTCTTTTGTATACCAACAGACTGCGCCAACAATTCAGTTAAGCATCAGTTAGGGATATCACAGAACTTCATTTAGGCTACATGAGAAAACTTGAACTACAACAGATTAATTTTTTTTTATTGAAAGCTTACACTTCACATCCATTTTCTTTTCAAGAATTGCTAAGGAGAAGCAAAGATGGAGTACATGTATCATATCGCAATGGCTTAGCTACTTCCATTTGCCAGAAGTTTTATGTCAGTGTTGGGTTTTTCCCTCCTTCATAATACTGGGATGCCTAGTCTGGTCTAGTTAACAACTTCGGTTTTGCCTCCATCTTTTCTAAACTGTTTTAAACAACATTTATCCTTTCAAATATTTTAGAAACTACTGTCAAATTTACTGCATTAGTGCAAGAGCCAAAATAAAATTCCCCAACAGGTAGTATTTAATGAATAACCTCTTACATTGAAACAAAACAGTTTTTCCAGACAACCACCCTGTAAAATTAACTAGAAAAAAATCATTACTATACTTGCAACAGTGACAAAGACTATGAAGAGATTGCTTAGTTTTCTGGGTTTTTTTATTGGTTGCATTTTAATATTATTTTTTATATTTTAAAGGAACTCACAATTGGCAATGATAGCTATTTTTAGTAACAATAAAAGCTGGTTTGCAGCTAGCCACAAAGCAGCAGCAGGACTTAAGAGTGAGTTCCATTTCCAGAATCCTCTGCAAACAAAACAGCATCTGCCTGTCACACTACTGGTGCTACCAAAACCACCCAGATGTCCTGTATCTCTAAGCATTATAGCCCCATCTACTTTTGGGAATTTTAGAACAAATTGCTTAACTGCTGGTGTAGCTTAGCTGTGGGAAAAAGGGCAGACAAGGCCCCAATGTTTTCTGGCACCACCCCTACAGACTAACATTTTTACCTACTCTTGCACATTTAGCAGCTCTATCCGGAATAACTGAACAAAAGTAAACCAAACAAACGGGGCAATCGGTTGAGCTTTCCTCTTATGAAACCTTTTACTAGAGCTACCACAAGCACGTGAAACGTAGCATGAAGAGCAGCCATCACCAACAGCAGGCCCAAACCTATTGTATTACATCCAACTTTTCCTGAGACCCCCTGATTTTGGTTGTGGACACTGGGAACTCTTGAGGCAGAACAAGGTTTACAGGAAAAGCCAAATGGGATTCTGTCCATGGGAGCACGCTGCTTCCCAAGTGACAGTGCTGAGCACAGTGAAGACTGGGGACAACCACACCGGAATCCACGATCAATTCCTAACAACTACGGAAACAGATCCCCTTTCTAATAGCTGAGTGCCTCAAGTAAGGAGATGAGACCACAGTATTCTTATGTGATTACAGTGAGTTATAAAATTGTGATGAAGCAGAAAGAAAAAGAAAAAAAAACAAACCAGAAATAAAAAGGTTATCTACAGTGTTATTTTCCCCTAGTAGTCAGCTACTGAAGAATACAGCATGTGTCTGAACAATATACCTATTAAACTTGAAATGAAGTAATTTCAAGATAGCACAGCATATTGTGTAAAGTTTCATTCTAAAAATATTAGCAAATGAAGATGATTCTTGCATCAAAATCAAAAACTGGAGTGAGGTGAACTAAGTCGTCTGACAAAGCATTAGGGGGCAGAAACAAAGGGCTACAAACCATAAGTGGACAGGAAAGACACAAGACTTACAGTCCTTGCCTGCCGTCAACTTTAAGAGCATTAAGCCTTAAAATCTGACCACAGGTTTTAAAGGTTCTCTCCTCCCTCCAGAAGCTGTGTGTTTATATCATTGTAACGCTCCTGGGCCCAAACTGACTTGTGACCTGGATGACCAAACAGTTGTTGAAGCCCAGGAAACACTCCACTGACCTCGACAGCCCAGGACCTTCAGCTCAGCAGCTAATGAACAATCCTGCTTTTGGTGGCTGGGGGGAGGAACACAAGTATAATTTCATCACTATGGCTTTTTTTTTCTAAAAAAGAAACAATTTTGATAATTTGGGGTATTTCTGATGTGTAATATCAAAGCAATTAAAGATACCAAATGTTATTACAACATTTGTCCTTTCTTCCATTAGCGATCCAAAAGAGAATGAAGGTTAAGGATTTTCTGCCAAAATATTTTTCCCTGAGAAAAAGGGGAAGAGATGCTGCAGGAGGAGGAAAAAAAAAAAGCAGCTATCTTGTTGTGTTACATTTATTTTAACCCAGTTTCAACAGTATGCAAATATTCCTTCTCCTAGATTCATATGAAGCACTACCATTCTTTTATTTCTATTGCATCTTGCACATTTCTATTTTAACATATGACTGAAAAATAGTAACAAACATTTCTGAGATCACGGTTAAGACAATTGAACTGCAATTGCAAATTTTTTTTAGTACTATAAAGCTACTACCGTCACCATCAAGAAACCTGGATCTTTGAGTGGAATTATAAACTGAACCATACAAGAAACTGACCCCTCTTAGCTTTGGTAAAAATATTTAGCATTATGGTTTCTTTCAAAGCTGGAAAGTGGATTTGCAGAAAAGGACCTCAGGTTTCAGGTGGACACCAATTTGAACACGAGCCAGCCATGTGCCCTTGAGACAAAGGAAGCCAACGGTGCCCTGGGCTGCATTAGGAGAAGCGTTGCCAGCAGGTTGAGGGAGGGGATCCTTCCCCTCTACTCGGCACTGGTGAGGCCACACCTGGAGCGCTGGGCTCCCCAGTACAATAATAATTTGGAGGGAGTCCAGTGAAGGCCACTAAGATTATGGGACTGGAGCTTCTGTCACATGAGAGAAGGCTGAGAGACCTGGGGCTGTTTAGCTCAGAGAAGAGAAGACTTGGGGGTATCTTATCAACATACAGAAATACCTGAAGGGAGGGTGCAAAGAGAATGGAGCCAGGCCCTTTAAGTAGTGCCCAGTGCCAGGACCAGAGGCAATGGGCACACACTGAAACACAGGAAGTTCAATTTGAACATCAGGAACCACTTTGTCATTGTGAGGATGCCCGAGCACTGGCACAGGTTGCCCAGAGAAGTTGTGGAGTTTCCATCCTTGG